GGGGGAAAATGAGAGAGGAAACTAGGAGTCTACGCGTATGTTGAGGTAGGAGATGGCGGAAGCGATGGAATAGTTTGAGGGTGGAAATTGTCCGTCGAGAGATATGAGAAATATGGTGATTCCAAAGGAGGTTTTGATCAATGAAAAATCCTAAGTTTTTAACAGAGGAGTAGAAGGAGATTGGCTGGTCATTAAGGTGAAGGATGGGAAAGTCTGGATGGGATCTAAGAAGGGGCTTGGAAGCAATGACAATGGCCTGAGTTTTGGCGGCATTTAACCTTAATCCATTTACATTTGCCCAGGCACTGATTCGATCTAGGTCTTCTTGGATCTTGGCAAATGCCCCCAGTAACTCAGGAGGGGAAAATGATAGGTAGATCTGTGAATCGTCTGCATAAAGGTGATGGGAACAATGGAGAATTGATTTAGGTAGGTCGTTAATGTAGGAGCTGAAAAGGAGAGGAGATATGCTTGAACCCTGGGCAACTCCAGAGGATAAAGAAAGGAAGGCAGATAGTGGTTGGTTGGGTATGGAGACTGCTTGGGTACGTTGTGAGAGGAAAGATTGAAACCAAGAGATGGAACTATTGGAGAAGGATAATAATTTCAGTTTGTTGAAAAGGATGGAATGGTTAATGGAATCGAAGGCTTTGGAGAAGTCGAGAAGGATAAGGATGGTTAACTTTTTATCATCTATTGCAGTTTGAATGTCGTTGGTGATTTTAATTAAGGCGGATTGTGTGGAGTAGCTGGGACGGAAACCAGATTGGAGAGGATCAAGTTGGTTGGACTTTTCAAGGAAGTTGGAGACTTGGGATTGCACCAATCTTTCTAGGGGTTTCGAGAGGTTGGAAAGAATTGAGATTGGGCGGAAATCTTCGGGTGAGGTCGGATTAGAATTTTTATTTAAAGGAAGGACAGTGGCTTGTTTCCAAGATGTAGGAAATACTGAATTCTGAAGGGAGAAATTGTAGATGAAAAGAAGGACTGGGAGGATTTCAGGAAGACATAATTTTATTAGTTTGACAGGGATGCCGTCCGGTCCTATGGAATTGGTGTGGGATTTCATTACAGCGGTTAAAAGGTCTGTAGGGGAAATGTCGGAAAAATAAAAGTTATTGTCGTTAAATGGTATCTCTATTGGGAAGTCGGAACAGGAGGATAAAGGAGAGGTATTAGCAACAGATATAAAATGCGAGTTTAGATCATCAGGGGATATTGGAAAGGCTGGAGTAGGGGATCGGGAAGGATCACAAAGGGAGAGTTTACGAAGCAGTCGCCATTTTGATTTTATGTCAGGAGTTGAGGAAAGGGCTTCGTGGAAGTAGAGGGACTTCGCACGCCGGATCCTTGTTTGTGTCAAGTTGCGAAGCACCCTGAACGCTTGGTAGTCATCTGCAAGCCTAGTACGTCTGAAGCGTCTACGAGCAGCGTCGCGCCTCTTCTGCAGGTCTTTAATTTCCTGACACATCCAAGGAGCAGGCCGGTGACGAAATGTAGAGGTTTTGAGAGGGGCATGGGTATTGAGGATATTGAGGAGATTGGTAGTAAGAATATCGACCATAGAGTCGATAGAAGTGCAAGAATATATTTTATTCCAATCTAGGATTTCCAGGTCAGGTAATATTTGTTCTCGTGTAAGGGAATCTAGATGGCGGAAGGTGATAGTTCGAGGCTGAATAGGAGGAGTTTGGATATTATATGTTATTTGTATCAGATCGTGAGATGACAAAAAGGATACTGGCAGTTGTGAAGAGGAGAGGAGGTTTTGTGCAGAGTCTATAATATAGAAATCTATCCAAGTGTCGGACCTGCTAGTATGGTGAGTGGGAGAAAAAGGAACGATAAAGAGGTGAAGGGAGAAGAATAGGTCTTCTAGATAGGATTTGTCATTGGAGTTAAATAGGAAATTGGTATTGAGGTCACCTGAGATGATTATTCTGGGATAGAGGGGAACGAAATTCAATAGGGTAGATTCAAAGGACGTGTGAAATGGAACAAGAGGAGGACGGTATACCACAGCGTAGAGGAGAGGAGAAGTATTACAAAGGATTTCAACTAATAGGTATTCAATTTGTGGGTGGTTGGAAGATGGGAATAAATCGAGTATTCGGGTCTTCAGGCTATTGTGGACATATATGGCTACTCCACCGCCAGTCCGGCTTACCCGGTCATGACGGAAGAGGTTGTAATTAGGCAGGGAGACAGAAGAGGATGGGATATAAGGTTTGAGCCAAGTTTCGGAGATAGCTATAATATGGTAAAAATTTTGAGTGAAATATTGCAGGAATTCGTCATAGTGCGCGGGGAGGGATTGAGAGTTAACATGGCAGGTGATTAGGGTACTAGACATGAGAAGTATTTGGAAGGAGACAGTCAGAGTTCAGTAGAGAAACACTAAAACAAATAAAAAATACAGAAAAGCTATTACAATTAATGAAAATGAGAAAAAAGAAAGTGTTTAAAGAAACAAAAAATAGAAAGCATATAGTAAATAATACATAGGCTAATATGTGGAAGTAAAGAAATACAACTAAAAGCGAAAATCTTTCTTCGAAGGGAATTTTGTCAGTAGTTATTTTGATAAGGATGGAGGGTAGACGAATTCTGTGTAGTCAGGTAAATATATCGAGGTCCGAGGCCTGTTCGATCATGATAACCTTATGCCCGTCCTCTTTTCGACATCGCACCTTTCCAGCGGCAAACCAGCAATATTTGATTTTCCCCGCTGCTTTCTTCTGTCGGGCAAGCCAGTATAAGTGCCTGTTCGTGTGAGTCATCTCCTCTCCCAGATATATCCGGTGGCAGTCATTCTCCTGCCAACCGATATCCCGCGTGGAGAAATCCCTCTTAACTTTTCTTTTCGATATTAAATCGTCTCTGACTGATTGCCTGACAAATCGTACGATGACAGACGGCGGTCGCGGGTCATCTTTCCTGCTTCTGCTGCGATGCACCACATCCAGATCTTCTGCACTAAGCTTGACTCCCAGGCTGGCTCCTACACTGGTCACCAGACCGGCGGGCGTTTCACCAGCTCGCTCCGGTATCCCTCGGATCTCCAGTGATCTGGATAACAGGCCCTGCTCTGCATTATTCAGGCGAACTTCTAGTTCGCCCACTCGGGATTTGAGGGCTTTATTTTCCAGAATAATTTCTTCGAATTTACTGGCTTGACTTTCGAGGTGTTTTTCAATTTTCGCTAATCTTTCATTTACCTCAAAACTGAGCTCCCCATATTTATCGAGGGCTGTTTTAATGTTTTTTACGTCTTCGTTTACGCTTGAATCTAGACGATTTACTGCCGCCAGTATTTCTGAGGCAGACGGCTCAGTGATGGTTTTTTTGGCCTGGTCGCAATTAGGGATACCCATGTTTTTTTGTGTGCTTTTAGTGCTTCGATGTCTTTATCAGATAAGTTGAAACACCTATATATATATATATTTAATTTTTCTGACAAAATTTCAAAACTCTTTAAATGAGGTTCACTGGTTTTATAGCGCAAGTTACGCCATCAAGTTTTTGAGGGAGGCATATGTTGAGGTGTTTTTGTTTTAATATTTGATAGAGGGGGCACATTTCAATGGGGTTATGAATTTTCGGAATTAAAAGTTTCAGAATAAGAGACAAGCAGAAAAACTGGAACATCACAGCAAGTGTACTTGTGTATGATCTACGATTTTTCTAATTCTACTTTACCTAGCTGTTTTTAAGAAAAATGAGCAATAAAATATCTTGGGAGAAGGAGTGGGTAGGTTCTTGCACTATCGACCTTAGGGAGAATAGGCACCCCTGCTTCCCTCCATATCAATAGATTTGTAGATCACTAGCGGATCCAGGATTTAATTTTGGGGGAGGCTTCAGCCCGAAAGTTGTTTTTTAAAATAAAAATGACGATAATTACTTTGGAAAAAAAGAAATAAACTAACTACCTGTTTGAAATTGTGTTTAAGTGATTCCCAAAGCCCTTTTAAATGTAATTACACGAACAATAATATTTTAAGAGATACTTTTTTAATATTTTTTTCGATAAAACATGGAAATATTTTACCATTTTGGGGGGAGCTTCAGCCCGAAAGCCCCCCCCCCCCCGTAGATCCGTCCGTGTAAAGGATTATAATTTTAACATTAATAAAAAATAAGGTTGTTATCTTAAATTAAGCCACTTGGATAATCAGTTAAGTACATTCAACATGAAAAATTTCATTGTTGCACCTATACCGCATACTCTATCCCTATTGATTTCCACGGGCGAATTTACGGGGGGGGGGCTTCGGGGCTGAAGCCCCCCAAAATGGTAAAATATAACCATGCTTTATGAAAACAAAATTAAATAATTATCTCTTAAACTATTATTGTTGATGTAATCACATTTAAAAGGACTTTAGGAATCACTTCAACATCATTTCATATCATAGGTAGTTAGTTTATTTCTTTTTTTCCAAAGTAATTATCGTTATTCTTATGAAAAAAAAAGCTTTCGGGCTGAAGTCCTCCCCCCCCAAAATTAAATCTTAAATCCGATAGTGCTGACTTCTAAATTCGGGAGTAGGCCGACAAAATTTTAAAGGGGTGGTCAGTTTTTACTAACAGCAAATCATTATACATGTTTGGCTATGTTTTACTTAGTACTCTAGTATTTTACGTTGGCTGACTCTTTGGAATAACTAATAGTTATCAATAACCTCTAGACGGTAAATTCAAGCGTAGTTTTATTAATAAATATTTTTTTTAAGACGAAAGTGACTGATTGTTGACGCATGATTCTTAATTGTTGATAATGCTCATATGTAACAATTTAAAATTTAAACAGTACCGCTTAAAATATGTGTAGTGCAACTGTTTTATTTATCTTAACCTCATTATTCGTTAAAAATAATTATTAAAACGCAAAATTAATATAATTTGTCAAAAAAAAAAATTATTTGTGTCTTTTAGTAAGGAGTTTGAGGTTTTGCTTTGATCAGGAAATAATTTCGCATTAATTTTAATTACAAAACATATCTTGAAATCTCATTAACTAAGACGAATCAAAATAATGACCGAGATAGATTACAGAAGTGGGGAAGGGAAACTCCCCACTCTACGCGAACCTTCCCCGACGCAGTCTGTTGTTGGACATCAACAGAAGTGATGTCGTCGCCTGGTGCGGGTAAACGGCGTATGGACACTGATGTTATGAAACTAATTGAAAGCAAACATGAAGTTACGTTTCTCGATGGATTGAACGAATTTTGTGTCAAGTTCTATGGGCCACAAGGTACACCATACGAAGGAGGTATTTGGAAAGTTCGTGTTCATCTTCCTGATCAGTATCCTTTCAAATCTCCCTCAATAGGTTTTATGAACAAAATTTATCATCCCAATATAGACGAAGTTTCCGGAACAGTGTGTTTGGACGTAATCAATCAAGCTTGGACTGCCCTCTACGACCTGTCAAATATTTTCGAATCTTTTTTGCCTCAGCTTCTTACTTATCCTAATCCTTCGGATCCTTTGAATGGTGATGCAGCATCTCTATATTTACATAAACCCGATGCTTATAAGAAGAAGGTTCTCGAATTCGTCAGAAAATATGCAACAGCTGAAGCATTAAGAAAACAAGAACAACAGACGGTTTCCTCAGGCAGTGAATCTTCTTTGTCTGATTTTAGCGAAGACGAAGCACAAGATATGGAATTATAGCAGAAGTTTTTCTGTGATATTTTTTTAGTGCCTTATAACAAAGTGATGTGTCATAAAGAGACTTATATTTATGGACTTTTTCTATTTTTTAGAAAAAAAAACTTTTAATAATTGACTTTATTTTTTATATTGTGTTGTTATATGTAATAGGACTAATGTATTCATCTAAAGATGAAATTAAAACCATGTAAGTAAAAATATGTTTATTTATAACCTTCTTAAAATAACGTTTGATCTCCTTTAACTTAAGTGATAGAACTTTTTCATATATTAATTTGTAGGTATTAAGTGATTGATTGTGGATGCATATTATGTCTTTGAAGTAGAATTAAATTTTTCATATTAAATCAGTTTACTGGAGCTTCCTGAACACATTTCTTGTTAAACATTTCAACCATTATATACTGTTGTTAATTTTCTTAAGTTTATAAGTTCTTTATGTTTGATAAATAATAAAGTTATCCAAAACTGCAGTGCTAGATGTTATAGCAATTTGTTATTTGTTTGCCCATGTACTTCGAGTATTTCATACATTCTGAAAAGGCAATACTCCCTAACCACTTAAAGAAATTAAAACTTTTTTTCAATATGATAGAAATTCTAATTTACAATGATTTTTATTTTTATAATTGTTTAATCCAAAAATTTATAAACAATATTTATGAAAATTTTAGTGTACTCTCTCCTGTTACCAGTGTTTAAGAAAATTAATTGTGTGGGTTATGCTTGAATCAAACAATTAATTGAAAAATATTTTTTTGTCCACTTGATTATGTTGAGTAATAGGAAACAATTTTGGTAGTCTTCTTGTTTTCATGACTACTGCAGTTTTATTATTATTTTATTTTGAAATAATTCTTCATATCTACCTAATGGTGGTTCAAGCAATATTAAAAATAAAGGAATGTCATTTAAGTTATTCATGATTCTTATTCTATAATTCAAAATATGCACTAATTATAAATTATAAAATTTGATGTATTTAAGCTTTATTGTTATATTCAGAGTAAAAGCTTCTTGTCCTTGAAGTAAAATTCATATACAAATATTTTGGATGAAACAAAATTATCAGGAATTTCAATCAATATATTTTTATCGGGTTAGCCAACATTTAGTTGATAAGTCGATTACTTACCCTTCTATATAAATATTTTGTTTTATTTATTTAATGAATGTTTTTGTGATAGAAATATTTCTGATGTATGAAAATATTTGGAAATTATCATTTGTCATTATTATCTTTTACTAAAACATTTAAATTGTATGAAATAAAAGAAATGAATGTTCCAACGATATTTATATAACTGTAGATGTATCATCAAATTATGCTTTATTTATAAAATGGATATGAAAATGTCATTAAATATGTTTATCAGAAACTCTGAACTAAGGGACATAATTTTTATAATAGCCTCCTCACATAGTTTCCTTGATTTGTTGTATATCTGTTTCCTGCAAGATTTAAATCACAATCGTGTTAATTTGGTTAACAATATTTATGTTGGAATATTTTTTGTGTGTGTGTGTGTGTGATAAGAGTCAATTTAAAAATATGAATGCCAAGACAATTTGGACATACTTATAATCTCAAGTATTGTTCATTGCACATTAAATTAATTACCACACACCAATTATTAGTTTACATAGGAGAAATATTATTTAGTTAGTAGTTTTTTATTTTTAACCTGATCATTATACTGCTTGTCTCATTAGACATTGAATCAAAATATTATATGATAAGTACTACTGTTATAATTTTTAAACTTTTATTTGGTTTCAACTGACATGCTTCAATATTTGAACTGTTAATGTTGATCCTGCTGTGGTTACCTTGAGAAATGCAACAAGGACTTCCTTGTGTACAGCTTTAAGATGAATAATTTTCAGCAGCAAACAATAATGAACTTAGGTGATTACGTGTTAAAACTTATTATATAAATATTAACCAAGAATTATATATATATTTTTTTAAAAAAACCTGTTCCACTACAACCCATAAAGGATCTCAGTACCAACCTATAAAGGAGTTCAGTACTATTTAAAGAAAGTACTGTTTCTTTGTCAACGGTTGTGCAAGAAGGTGATATGACTGAGATCACACTCAACCGCCAATTTTTACATTTTAGCCAATTATTTTTAAGTAAGGGTACCCACTTTATAGAGGAGGTTCTTCTGATCCCAGTGTCAATAGCCCCACAGCTGATGAAATAGAATAAATAATTTTTCTTCCATGAGCCAGGATTTGAACCCATGACCTTGAGCATAGGAAGATAAGTTCTCTACCACTGAGCTACCCCATACACAGACACACACACATATGTATATGTATATACTACTGTTATCCCACTTTTGCAAAAACTTCTTTGTCGAATAATCTTTAACTCTGCAGTAATTAAGTTGAGGTTTATTAGAGAAAAACTTGCGATTAAGCTCAAATTGTGTTAAAAAAATACGATATTTTTTATTCTGTCAAGTAAAAGTACCCCTGTTTTCAGCAAAAATGACTAAAATTAATTGTTTCAAATCTTTTATTTCCTGTTTTTTCATGGTCTGGGATGTATTATAGTTAATCCAAGTGTATAAACACACATCTTATCCATACAAAAAATACTGATTTTTCAAATAAATTGGTTATAAACTGTTTTTCACCCAGATCTCTATTATAGGAATTGTTGATCTGTGTTTGCGCGTGACAAAATAAAAGGTTCTAGTCCTAAAATTTACGTTTAAAAAAATTACGTTAAAAAGCAGATTGCTTCTATTATGTTCATAATGTTAATATTAGGATCATGAAAATTTAGTTTGTCACTTATAAATTTGGATAAATTCTTATAGAGATTTGGATGAAAAACACAGTTTATAACTGATTTAAATGAAAAATCATTTTTTAAATAAATAAAATGTGTGTTTAGGCAATTGTGTTTATTAAAATACAGACCAGATCATGAAAAAACAAGGAATAAAAGCTTTAGAGCAATTAGTTGTAGTCATTTTTGCTGGAAACAGGGATACTTTTACTTGAAAGGATAAAAATAATATCACGATTTTTTTTACAGAACTTGAACTTAACCTCAAGTTTTTTTCTAATGAACCTCAACTTAATTAATACGGACTTCAAGATTATTAAACAAAGAAGTTTTTGTAAAAGTGGAGTAACACTAGTACAGTTAGATAGTGATAAAAAAAAAATCACGAATAATTTATGATTTTTCTAAAAACAGAACTTAGCTTAGTTTAACTGCTGAAAAGTCCTCTGTGGATGGTCTTAACAATAAAGTAAATTTTATCTTGTTTGCAATGAAGCAATTATTAATTATTTAAATTAAATATTTCTTAGTCATTGCTTTTGATTCAATAAAAAACGACACTTAAAAAAAATACAAAACTTGGATTTCCTACTTTTCTGCTGAAAATTGGTCCATTGTTTATATGATTTTTTTGTAGTTCTTGGGGGTCTGCTATTACTCGTATAAAGATATTCCTCTATTTGCGGGACACCTTCTATATATATATTTCTTTTTTTTTTCTGTTGGTATTACAGACCATGTAGGTCTTTTACTGCCTTAACAAGCCTGCTCCATATTTGCCTGTCTTATGCTATTTCGTTCCATTTATCTGCACGCAGCTCTGTTGATTCTATCTATCCATCTGTTTTTGGCCTTCCACATGGTCTTTTGCCTTGTATAGAGGCATTCATTGTTATGTACAGGCTTCCAGATGGATTGCTACAAGCTACATGTCCCGCCCATCTTAACTTCTGTGCCTTCTTATCATGGGGTATTGATTGACCCATTTCTGTAAGCAGTTCTTTGTTGGTCTTTATTTTCCATGTGTTAGTACTCTGATCCCAGTTATAGTATGGAGGATTTTCCTCTTAAATCTTTCAATACTTTTTTTTAGAGTGCTGGTTAGTGTCCATGCCTCACAGCTTGCAATACCCTCTCAAAGGTATTGAAATCCTGGTATCCCCCAAAAAACTGAAATCTCAAACTAAGGGTGTAAATGATATGATAAAGCCAGTTCTAATATACATATTAGAACTGGCTTTATCATAGCATTTACACCTCTAGTTTGAGGTTTCCATTTTTTGGGGGATACCAGGATTTCAATACCTTTGAGAGGGAGAAGAAAGCTCTGTTTGCTCTGGTGATATGCTGGTCTGTTTCTGCCATTTGGTCATTCATTGAGGTTATTGTGGACCCAAAGTATTTGATTTTTTCTACTCTCGGGAATAATTTTCCTTCTACACAGAATTATTTATTGAGGTGGAATTTTCAGCTTATCATATATTTTGTTTATCTTCATTTACTTGTAGGCTGATCTGCTCAGCGTCTCTTATCAATTTTAGCAAGTTTCTCAATGTCTTCTTGATTACTTCCAAGGACTGCTATATCATCTGCGTATCCAAGGATTTTATAATTCATTCCCTTCATATTAACCTCCCTCCCCCCCCCCCGTTTTCCTGTGATGTTGCTCTTATTATCTTCTCCATGTCTATGTTGAACATCATCGGTGATAGTTCATCTTCCTGCTGTTAGTCCGTTTGAACTTTGAAGGCTTCAGATGCTTCTTGTATTAGGACTCTACAGTCGGGGTCATTTGTACACACCTTTGTCAATCTGGTGAACTTAACAGGAATTCCCAATTCAGTCATGATTTTCCAAAGACAGCTCCTGTCCACAGAATTATAAGCTGTTATAAAATCAATAAATAAGGCTCGGACGTCCTGAGCTATTTCCCATCATTTTTCGAGTACTTGTTTTAGGATGAAGATCTGATCTAGCATGCTCCTCCCTTTTCTGAATCCAGATTCTCGTAATATGGATATGTCCATTTTAGTAGGATATTGATCATTACCTTGTAGGCAACCTGAAGGAGTGCTATGCCTCTGTAATTACTACACTCATACATAGAGCCTTTCTTTAGGATAGGACAGATTAGGCCCCTATTCCAAGCCTCAGGTATTCTTTCCTCTTTCCATATTTTCTAGATTAATTGTAGTAGCTTGGCTCTTAAGTCGTCTCTTCCATCTTTAAACAGTTCTGATGGTAGGTTGTCTATCCCTGGAGCCTTTCGATAGCTATTTCTACATCCAGTAATATCTGGTTTAATATATTATAACATCTCTCTTATATTTTACAAATAATAAATTATTGAAGGAAGTTAGTCAACTGTTCTACATATGGGTGATAAATATTCAGGACGTAGTCATTATAAGGTTTTTATTAGTGTCGACGTTTCAATTCAAACATGTGGGTTATCATCAGAGCTGAAAAATTTTTAAATACAATCAGAGATATAGTATTATACGACTAATAATGGTTAATAATGAAAAAATATAGTGATCGATGGTACATGAATCTTAACTAATATTACAATAAAAATATAAATGAACTATGTTGAAAGTTATACAAACTAAAAATAATGCATATAATTCATTTATAAAAATTGTAATATTTTCTCTTACTAACCGTGGTTCGAGCACTGAAGATATTCAAGTACTAACACATTTGGTAGGTAAGTAAGTGTGAGGGGTCAGAGAAGGATTTCCCAGTTGTCCTTTTCCCGATAGAAAAAGGTAGGTAAACATAGTCAGAGGGGGGTTACATTTCTGTTTGTAGAATGTAAATAATTTGCTGACTAAATATTTAAGATGTGACAAGATTTGCGTTGTTTCTTATAGTTACAGAATTGTGACTAAGGGCTAGTAATGAAGTGAGCATAAGCAAGATATATCAAGCAATATAAACATAACATAGTTTGATTGAAGGTATACAATAGTTAGCCAAATAATGTTTATAATATAGACAATTGTAGTGGATTGAAATGATAAGTAGGACAATATATTGTACAGTATTTTAAGAATAAAAATATTAATCATAATAGAAATATATACTACATGATGCTTGGGGTGTCGATGCTCAATTTAAAAACTAAAGAGGATCCTATTATTTATGTTAAAAAACAGGGATCAAAACATTTTT